AAAAGCTCGAACATCATAGGCTAGCAATATGGCGAAATTTAAAGTCCTCCAAGGCAATATACAATTGCGAGAACTAATTGAGAAGTTTATTTTGATCTTAAATGTAAAATTTCAATTTATTTTGCTCCATAAATTCAATTTTTTTTTCACCCAGACTATCTCCATTGATTACGCACATGAATCCTTTGTTTGGATGGGGAAAATTAGGAAGGAAAGAACACCAGGAGCATACTTTCCTTCCCTCTATTTTCCTCCCATTTTTCCCTTCATATAAACACGGCCTAAAGGAGCTGCCCATCAATAACAGTTCCAGTGTAAATTATACAATTTTTTTGTTCGATAACAAACAATACTTTTTTTTTTTTACAAATAATTAAATTAAGTAATTTTCTTAACATCAATAAATTAATTATTTGTTTTTTGATACGGTGGATGGGTCATACGAAGTGATGTGTAGCATTTAATAAAGGGGGTTAGACTAAGAACAAAAATAAAAGAAATATTAAAAAAAAAAAAAAAAAGCAACCTCAACCGACTAACTTAAAGCACCACTTGAGAAATAAATTTTAAAAGAAAACCCAAAAGAACATCGGCCTTAAAATATAACGTTTGACGTAGTCTCGGATGGGCTAGATGGAAGAGATCCTATGCTTAAGGATTCGATTTCAAATTTTAGTCAGACCCAAATTAACATTTGAAAAAAAAGCCGTGTCCATAGCTTAACGAAAAAATAATGATTACCTCCGGAACCGGGCTTCTGGGCGATCTGCGTTCAGTAACTTTGGGGCTTCTTTCTTTTGATGCTCTATTAGCTTGACCAGACGAAGAAGCAGAGTTAGTCTCAAGAGGACTAGGCCTGAGTTGGCGAACAGCGCGAGGAGAGACCTTTTGAGGCACTTCAGAGGATCCGCTTCTGAAATCAAAATAAGTAGCATGATGAGGTAAGAGGGAGGGAAATTCCATACGGAAAGTGAATATACATATCTCTAAAAAGCCTCCAATCTTGCAATTAATGTATTCACCATATAAGGCAATATCTCTAAATCTCTGGATTCTGCCCACTCATTACTGCCTTCAGCTTAGTTGGTAAAGCACAGAGAGTGGTTGAACCATTTGAGCAGATAAATTTAAATATGCCAACTTTATATTTGAATCAGAGATTTTAAGTTTCAAACCAATAATATTGCGGGAATGGGTACTGTCTCAGTTAGAGCTACTAGTTCTAACTGCCACCATAATGAAGTCATGTTTACACTCGTCGTTAGTAGCAAGTTTTAAATAGACTGTCATCTTCATGAATTTTCAGTTCTATATTATATTTGTCAAATAAAGTCTCGTACGTAGTAATCTCTCATTTAATAGGAATGGAGCTGCATGATGCCATTTACAGCCAATTCTTCTTACATCATTTGACCGCCATTGTGGACTCAAATAGCAATAGGAATAACGACTTCAGAGAAGGACATAAAAAAATAAATTTATGAAAAGAAAAGCAGAAAAAAGAAATAATGAACAAGCACGTGAATGTTCCCTGTAAATAATGAGATGCAAAAAGCAGCGCAACCATCAATATCAATAATTCTTACCGTCCAAAATTGGCTCTCTCCCATAGCTTGACAAGGAAAATGACAATAACTCAATGGTGAATTGGACAGTTAAGTTTTCAGTTCCAAAGGAGAAAAACTGTGAAAGGGTGAACTAGTGGAGACGAGAGCTAGTATGTCCTTGAATGTAAACAGCCCATTCAGAGAATAATTATCACCACTATTGAGGTAATGTTGCTGATTTAACTTTTTGGATACTTTTTAAAGCAACAGAGCAAAATGAAAAAGTGAAAAATGCCAATTTACTAACAGGCAAAGCATTTGAAAAATTACCTTGTCTTGGGGGTCTGCATTTTGAACTGCCTTGTATGAAAGGAAAGTGAAGCGGGTTAATAACTTTGGTCTGTGCCTTGAATGTTCCCTGGCCCACAAGGACTGTACTAGTTCAGCAAAATATCACAAGAGAATCCAATGAGAAGGTAAATGAAGTTATGAGCAAATAAATGAGTTCATGCAGAAAGGATACACTCCCATATCAGAAGCTGCAAAGCCATAAATGCGCCAGATTTTGTAACTGCGATTTTCACTATATTTCCCTACTCGCAGAAAAAATAAGTGAGAGAGACTCAACTAAATGTGAAGAATTATATAAAGTCGACAGACTAAATTCACTAAATAGTATATCTATCTAAAATGCTAAACATTTCTACATAATTCGCTTAGTTAGCATATTTTCTCACACTTTTTTTTTTTTTACACGGAACGAATATGCTTAAGAATTCAAGTTCCTTCCCATTTTTAAGCGTAAATACTTAACATATCGCTTTTGTACCAGGAAGGTAAATCTTGCTTGAAGAAGATGTGAAGATGGAAAGAGACATGAGCACCGCATAAAACGGCGGAAAAAGAAAGTGAAGTAAAAATTTAGCACTAGGTCAACCACTCATGAAGAAAAATTTTAACTTTATACCAACTGCTGTTATGATAACTCATAAGCCCTTTCAGAGCAAGCAGGCCCCACCATTATGGTCAAGGGGGCCCTAAAACTACAAACACAACATGAAAATTACAGAGACGCTCATGACCTACCCATGAGACGATGAAGATGCCAATTTACCCATGTGTGCTAGTTGGATTTCATTAATGAGCAATGGGCAATTTCGTAATTGTAAATACAAAGTTATGAACCTCCAATTTTGCCGTGAAACAAGGGCACGGCTCGACAAATGAGTGCCAGGCAATGTTTTAAAAGCCGGACCGGAAGTCGAGCCGGAAATATCAACGGGTCATGGTTCAATCGGTCGGACCGTTTGGTCAGACCGGTGATGCAATAATTAATTTAAAACAATATTATATACATATAATTAGTATATATGAAAAATATCAAATTATTAAATAATTTAGAAATGCATTTAAATAATCTAAAATTATAATGAAATCATTGAAAATGGACTAAAACCTTATATATTTAAATTTATGTATGTTTAAAATATTTAATGATATTACAAATTATCAATTCATTCAAATCAAAATATTTTTTTAAACGATAGACCAAATATCAAAACAAAAAGACTAGCAACTTACGATTTTAACACCACAATATATGAAATTTTCAATGAAATAATACTCTATGGTTATAAATAGTCTAAAAATATATTAGGATATTTAAGGGGATCAATTTTTTTATTTTTCTTCTATTTTTTTTTAAATTTTTTATTCAGTCAGGCTAAAAAACCGTCCGGTTTTCCCGTTCCGGTTCCCGGTCCAACTCCGGTTTCCGGCTTAATAACGGCTCAACTCCGGTCCAATCCGGCTCAACTATATGAACGGTTTTTTGGTCCAAACCGAGCCGTTAACGAGTCCGGGTCACGGTTCAACCGGTTCGACCGTCCGGTCCGGTCCGGTTCTTAAAACATTGGTGCCAGGCGTTGATAATGGACAAACACATAAATATCTTTACCCAAAAAAACTGCTCAAACTTTTGCTTTCACTTATTTGACATTTGCGCAAGTGTCTTTTTTTTTTTTTTTCCCAACGAGCAAACATAAAAATTATCATTCCCTAGACAAAATGATTGTAACAAGACATGCTCCATAAGCGCAGGTTATGCTCAAGCATTGTTCTCTGAAGTAGGAAATGACAAAATGGAAAAAAGATAAAATCCTTGAAAGATCACCTCAGATAATTATTAATTAAGGATTTTCCTGAGGAACAGAGTGAATCAGATCCACAGCAGACCTGAGAGCATCGTTAAGACGTTAACGACATTGAAATATGCTCTGACCCAAAAAAAAAAACGACATTGAAATATGCAACAGAAGTAAATAGTGGAAGACATTTTCTAATTAAGAAAAGGAAAAAGGAACAAGAGAGAAGGTAATAGTATTTAGGGAAATATAAAATAAAGCATAAAAAGAAGAGGAAGAAACAGAAACAAACAAACAAAAGAAGTACACTATGAATCGACTCTTTTTAAAAAGATATTCTACTATTCGATTTGCTTTCAAAAAAAAGGTCTGAATAACATAAAAAAAGTTGCAAAGCCTACCGGCTAATCCTCCGCTCCAGCCCGGAGAATCACAAAAAGTGATTGAAAAAGATGCATCATTACGCTCAGTACATAGAAACATGTCCAAACAACAAAAAATTCCAAATAAAAGAAAAACGGAAGGGGGAGGGAGAGGAGGAGGAGGAGGAGAGCTTGATCTTCCAAGAAAAATGAAAAAAATGGAAAGGACGAAATTTAAAACTGCAAGCCTACAACCAAGTGACAGACCTTAAAGAAGCAGAGCTGCGAGCTGCGGGGTCATAGTTTTCATGAAAGAACTAACCAGCACCACAAACAGCCCAAAAAAAGAAGAAAAATGAAAAAGAAGAAGAAAACTAATGTTTAGACAGCAATGGCTGTGCGTGAGGACGACGATATCGGAGCCACTCCGCATTTTCCCAGAAGCCAAACAAGAGCAGTAATGTAAAACATAAATGTCGATAGAAACTCACGAACCGTTACTACCAGTGAATGGAGTTGCAGAAGATGGTGAAAGCTGTTGTATCCGTAAGTGGCTTATGGCTTCCGGCGGGGGGAGTGGGGAGGAATAGAGTACGGGCAAACGCAGAGAAAGAGGGAAAGGAGGAGGTGGTGGTATAGAGTACCGATTTGTCGTTGCGCACTGACAGCGATTAAATCGGTTTTAAGAAAGAGCTTGCGTCCGCATCCCCGCATGGGATTACAATATCATATCTGTATTCGGGTTACCACCTTATCCCTCTTCTGCCTTTTTTAACCTTTTCTTTTCCACCTTGGTGCCTTTGGGGATTGGCGCCATTATATATAAACGGACCAGTGAATGCCCTCACCCTGCTATCGTCAAAAAGGATTAGATTATATTAGGAAGAAAACAAGAGTCCACCTTAAAAATTTTTTACAGGTAAATATGTGAAGTAACTTATTTTATCCCCAAACACCCCCTCCAATGGCTGACCTCAGGTTAGATGAAAAATGGAGAGAAGTGTGGTGTGAGAATGATGCGTTGGGGGAGTTAAGTTGAAGTGTATTTAGAAATTCGTAAAAAAAAAAAAAAAGGAAAAGAAATGATGGGTAAGAAAGTAAGTTAGTGAGGTGCAGCCCAATCTTGGTGAAAGTTCTACTTGGGTACAAGCTTGGCATCTTTAGGAAGTAAAGTGTTTCAGGTTAATGCTTTTCTGAGGAGAATATTGTCCCTGAATAAAACTGAATATACGACAACCATGAATATGACGAAACACGATGCTTTGCTCATTTTGTCACTAAAAAATTCAGAACTGAGAACTCTGCGCGTAATTGCGAAGTGAATTCTCAGAGGCAACAATAATGGTGAGAAATAGAAACCCAGTATTCGCACTCTCATTATGTTTCTTTTTTCCCCAAAAAAAAAAACTGTTGCAACATCAATTTTTTTAATAAAATACTGTTTCAAATTCAGCAGTGCGTTCCTTGGTTGCGCTTAAGAAATAAAAATTCACAAATAATGTATTATGCCACCATTAGCACTGGAAGGAGGAGAATAGGATTTTTCAATAAAGTATGCAAAATAAAACATCAGGATATATATTGTTTGTGTCTGCCATCGTGGAATTTGATGTTTCTGAAAAGGAATCAATCTCAGTGTGAGGATTATATAACACCCAAGACTGCAACGAGCCTAATTAAACCGTTTTATTATAACCTTGAAATGCTAGGGACCTTTGAACAGGACAAAGAGATTAGTTATCACGATTCATTAACGACTCCAATTACTGCAGTCACAAAAATAATAATATATCACCATCGAGAAGAGAATAAAAATTATCTTATATACTACCTCCGGTCCTAATTATAAGACCTAGTTGACTAATTTGAGGAGATTAATGAAGTAAGTTAAGTTAGTTATTTGTAATAAATAAGTGTTGTCATTCCTAAAATATTCTTGATAATTACGTGTATTGGCTAAAACTATCACGATTAGAATGATTATTTTGGCAAAAAATACATAAATATGAAAGACAAAATGGATTGGGGTCTTATAATTAGGACCAAACAAAAAGTCAAACGGGGTCTTATATTAAGAACCGGAGTCCGTAGGTAATATAATGTTATTTTGCTCGCAGGCTTTTCATTATAAAAATACAAAAAATAAATTTGTGTAAAAAGACCATCCATAGGGACAGGCGAGCGTTTCCTATCTTATATGGCCAGGCCCAATGGACTAAAGTGGGGCCCATAGTTTTAGCTCATCTTCTTGCGAAGTCCGTTTTAGCCCATAGTCAAACTCCGATTTTCCAATTCGGTGCCTGGAAAACGCAAAGCGACTTTAATGGATCAAACCCAAAATGAATTTTGATGGAGTCCAACCAGTCTCACAGATGAATAGCAATGAGCTTCTGCTTCTTCTTCGTTCGATCTGGTTCCGAGATCGATACTGACGAGTTGGATCAATACCTACTTCTTATGCGATGGAAATTTTATACGTACGTGGTTCAATCGAAATATATTTAAATTTCTTCAGATTTAACGTGACATCCAAAACTCAGTTGACACGTTAACAAGATAATGAATAAAAAAAGTTAAATATCAGCCTTCAATACATCACGCCGAATCTAAAAGAATAATAGCACTGATTATAAATCAGAAATTGTTATATTATCCATGCCTTGTTGCTTCTTGTAATATAAGTGCAGTATCGTAACTTATTAAAAAATATCGAAGCCCACGTCACTGCGCTCTCTTTCTGTTTATTTTTAAAATCATAAACAAAATTACTGATAACCGTGAAATAATCACTGGCCGGGAAAAAATAGATGGGACGAAAAAACTAAAATTGATGATAACCCATTATTTCAGTGTGTTAACATATGTCAACAAATATTTTTCATATATTATACAGCACAGAAAAATATATTTTACATCACTAGGTAAAATTCAATAGTCACGTCAGCATATCAAAGCGAATATGGTCTAACATACGAGTGTTTAATCAGTATAAAAAAAATATTTTAATTAATATAAAACTTATTTTATAATCTAAATTACATTATAAAATAGTCTTACAATTGGAGGTGGAAGGTTACTTTAAATTGGCATCAAGATCCAACCATCAAAGCTGAAAAAAAATATCGCAACATCAATAGTAAAAATAATACTCTTCTGGTCCTTAATATAGAACCCAATTATTGACTTGGTTTTGGTCTTAAATATAAGAACCATTTCTCATATTTATCAATTTTCTCTCAATTACCCCTATGGATACTCTCTCAACTATAATCAGGTAGAAGAGGAAGAGGGGGTATTAAGAAAAATGATTATGATATTTTAGGAAAAAGTGTCACATTTCTTATAATTAACTAACTTACCTAACTTTCTTAATCTAATTAAATTAGTTAAATAGATTATATATTAAGGACGGAAGGAGTGATATTTTATACAACCCATGGAATCTTAAATTGTGGTTGCTTTCCGGCGGATAAAGAAAATTGATTTTGCTTAGGCTGACCCATAATCCTTTTCCCTTATCTCCTCATAACTCACAAGTGACGCACCCATCCCAAAAGGCCCCCCAACCAACGCGGAAACCAGAGATACAGACAATATTTGGCATTTGCCGACCTGCCCATCCCATCTTACTCAGCTTCCATGTCGGTAACTTGTCCCGCAATTCTTTCTATTCTTCTCCTCCGCAGCCCACGCCAAAATTTGCCAAACCGAAGGTGAATATCCGATCCCCGGATTGAAAAGGGGGGGCAAAAAAGTCCCTAATCCTTTTTTTGGGAAAGACAGCGTTGAAAATTTAATTAAACATTCATTCCATAACACTTTTTTTTTGCCTGACATTTTATAAGACTTTTTTCAATGAGCATTAAAAATTTTTTCATGATAAAAGTAGCGAGAGAGAATATCAATTAATATGATATTAAAATTTAGTGTGGTTATAAAAGCAATATTGAAAATTATTTAAATTTCATGACAAATTTAATATTATTAATTATTTTAATTGGTATATCTAAATTAGTGAAAGACTTCATATTATGAATGGAAGAGAGTACTGCATGATAAATTATTATGTGTTTTGTCAAATTCTTCCCGACAGTATATTGCATGATATACAGTGCCTTCTGGGCCTTCGATAAAATTAGCTAGAATGATGCAAATAAGAGCAAATCTATTGCATATCTTTATTTACTTCTGTTTAACACATCCAAAAACCGTCAAAATTAATATCAATATAGATGTATCCATCATGTCGAATGAAAAAAAGCATATATACATATATATGTAAAATTCACAAGAAATTACATTATTTGTAAATTTTTAATGATGTGATTTATTTTAAATTTTGCATCATGCATGGAATTTAGGGGATATTATTTCGACCTTGTGCATGCATAACTTTAGAGATTTGATAAAATTGTATTCTATTCTAATTTTTTCTCATTTCATAATTTGATTCCATTTCAGGCAAGAAATGAATAATTGCTTTTACTGTGGAATGTCCGAGAATATCCCCGCTTTCATTTTCCAACAGTCGAGGGCATTGACGTCATTTGAGCCAGTCTGACTAAAATAGACACCTGTCCAAGATGCACAGCGAGTTCGAGTCTTTGAGCTGCGGGCACTCCAGAGCCCACATGGATAGTGGTAATAAATACACCCTCCCAGCATCGCCTCCCACGCCAACAAACTCCCTCCTCCTATCATGATAGCTCCATCTTCAGAGGCCTCTCAGTAACGAGAGAAATATTCTTGCAGAACTCACCATATAGTATTACCAAAAACACAAAATACTCAGAAGGTTAAAAAAAAAAAGTCAAGAGATGAGAACGAGCAACAACTTGATTGGTCTAGTAAACTTCTTGACGTTCTTGCTGTCGATCCCAATCTTAGGAGGCGGGATATGGCTGAGCAGCAGAGCCAACAACACGGACTGCCTCAAGTTCCTGCAGTGGCCGCTCATCGTCATCGGAGTCTGCATAATGGTGGTGTCTCTGGCGGGATTCGCCGGCGCGTGCTACCGCAACACCTTCCTCATGCGGCTGTACCTGGTGGCGATGTTCTTCGTGATAGCGGCGCTGGTAGGGTTCATAATATTCGCGTACGTGGTGACGGATAAGGGTTCGGGTCGGGTGGTGATGAACCGGGCGTACTTGGAGTATCACCTGGAGGACTACTCGGGTTGGCTGGCGGAGAGAGTGTCGAGTGACAGTTACTGGGGGAAGATAAGCTCTTGTATTAGGGACTCCCACGCGTGCGCTAGGATGGGCAGAACCTTTGGCGGTGTTCCTGAGTCTGCTGATATGTTCTCCCACCGGCGACTCTCTCCTGTTCAGGTACGCCTAAATGATTCCGATTTCGGTCTTGCTATTTTTTTTCCCCCCTCTGTCTACTTTCTCTCCCACATAAAAAGCTTGTTCATTGAATAACTTAATTAATTAGGATCACATGATCGAGTCCATTAAATTCTTTTTCTTTTTCTTTTTTGGCCTTTATTGACCTGATCGATCCCAGTATTTCATCAAGCCTTTGCTTACTTGCTGGGGGTTATGTTTTGGTAACAAGTTTAGGAGAAGTCGAATTGAATTAGTGTGGAGGAAGCTTGTGTTGTGAGTTTCAGCATTGGGCCCTCACTTTGATCCCTTTTGTCTTATAAGGACTTTTATAGAAATCACATCGAAAAATTGTACAGAGGGGATAGCGACGTGAGATATATGTAATAGTTTTTTTTTTCCAATTTTTAGCTGAAGAGATATATGTAATAGTTGAAGCTTGAAAATTTGGAGGTTTTTTTCCCTTTTAAATTGAAAAAAGAGTAAAAATAATATGAATATTATTCCTTTCCTGTGGGGGTGTAGACGTAGGATGAAGTTGAAGGAGAGAATAGATTAATTAAATAGGGGTGGTGGGCTAACCGGGTTGGGTAAGGAAGGGGTTAATTCCTCACGGTATGACTGTTGAGAGAAGTATCAATATTTAATGTCTGAGAGAGTATTTTAAATAGAATTGTTTTCATTAGGGAAAAAAAAATAGGGGCGGTTGGTTGGAGATCTGAGGCTCTGAGCATAAGGAAGCTTGAGGTCGGTGGCATGTGAGGGGGGTGATCGGTTTTAGGCATATTGACTGGTGAAGCTCCGAAAGTTATGGGCTCGTCAA